AGTATAAATTAGAATAATATGAATAAATTTTCTATAATAATGATCTTATTACATTTGAGAATTAATTTAATAACTTAACAAAACAATCATTAAATATACTTTTTACAACCGATAATAAATTGGAATATATTAAGACAGATCATTTCAAATTTTTAAATATCTAACCAGCAATAATGAAATTAAAGGAAATAATATAATAATTAAGTTTTAATTTTGATATTGCTAAGAGAATGATTTTCGGAAAAAATCCTATAAACAATGCTAATATAGCAATAAAAGAAATTTGGAAACATTAAACTATAGCCAAAAATGGAGATAAATTTAAGACATTTACTTTCAAAAAGAATTAAGGATTTGCAGAAGTATTTTTATGTAAATCTAGTTTTGAATTAAAAGGAATATTTCATGCATAATTATTTACCGGAATAAACCATGAGGGTAAAAAATTTGATTGTTAAAAGGATATACATTGTCTACAATTTTCTATTCATGAAGGTCTTGATTTATCATCATATTACTACAGATAAGAATTAGAATTAAATCATTAGATATTAACTCAAAAAGATTAAAATTATTAAATCATGCTTAATTAATCAATATTAATTAAAAAAGGTGTTATTTATACAATAAGTCTGATACCAATAACTAATTAAAATTTTAGTACATATATGTATACAGGTAAATAAGGAGAAAATTAATAATACTTAAAATTTTTAGATAAACACATAGATCTTATTGATTAAATTATTATTGCTTAATAATAATCTAATTAATCTCCAATTCCTGGATTTATGATTAATATTTGAGAAAAATACAATATATTATTAAATAAAAATGTTTTTTATTAAAGGTATATTTCTAAGATATATTATAATTAATTCATAGAATTTACACACCTTTTTATCTGAGTTTATCATTCTTAGTGTCTCTGATGGTCAAAAATGTCATCACGAGTGTTAATTATTTTTCTTCAGAAAATAAAGATCCTATTTGAACAGCAATATCTTAAGATATTTCTTAATTATTTATTTTGATTCTTAATTATAAATCAAATTTTTATGTCTTTTATTCTTCAGTGCTATAAATACCATCTTAATTAATCTATATTTATTGTGTTTTATAAGTTATTGGATTTTAATTTAGATTCTCTATAATGTAATTTATTAGTTCAGTTGCTGTACAACTTTTTTATATCTAAACAATTAATGGATTACATAATAAAATTATTTCCACACTTTACAAAAAACATATTACATAAACTTCATTACCTAAAATTAATGGTTTAACAAATTTTAGGTTATACTTAGATATTGTCTTTGAAATCTTAGCATTTTGATCCAATAAGACCCAAGCTGCTTTCTAATCTTTTTTAGAAGTTAATAAAGGAACTGTTTCTTTAAGATTCTCTTATTCCATAAATTCTCCAAAACTCATACTTTTTTGTATGATATAAGTTTAATTATCAACTTAAAAACTAATTTATTCTTTCATTGCTCCAACTGGAACAACTGTCTATTTATAAGCTATACTATTATCATATTGTATTATATCATCAATTATTATTTGTTATTGTAAGACTTGATAATTACCTTTTCTATCTTTATATTTAATTTAAATATTATCAGGATGACAATCTTCTAATTAAGCCAAATATTCTAAAAGTTACTATGCAGTGTCATTTTTATTAAATAATTGAGAAATACATTGATTTTCATTAACAACTCTAATTAATACTTCTTTCATATTTTCTATTTCAAAGATTTTAGCTTAAAACTTAAATTCATAATCTAAATAAACTTAATAATATTCTGTATTTTTAAACTTACTAGATTATTTAATTTGCATACCATCATTTTAGTATAAAATATTTACTTTCAATTCTTGATTGTATTAATTCATAATAAAATGTTCCATATTCTCTTCCTTATCTAAAAGTAAGACTTATTTAAATGAAACAACCAAATTATTCACAGTCTTAATAAAAATTATTAATTTATTTTCATTTACTTTTTATTCTTTAATATTTTTACAATTTTATTAAGTTTATTCAAGTTTAATCTTATCTAAACCTAAATAATTATTTATTAGTTGTTAATCTTCAGGATTAATTGAAATCAACATCAAACCCATTTGATAACATTTATTTGCTAAATAAAATGTTAACTATTTTTGTGGTTACATTAAAACAACTGATTCTAAATTTGGTTTAAGTTGTGTAATTCTATAGATGAGCAGATGAGCATTACTTTTATTTATATTAATCTTTTCACATAATTAATCAATAATTTGCTAAATAGTAATTGTTTTAGGTACAAGTAAAGGAGTAGTATATTAATCAAAAAACTCTTCAACTGCATTAAAATCTATCGATTAATTAGATGCTTGTCTATGAAATATAATTCCTGATTTAATTTATTATTTCTAATTCAAATTCAAATGATTAATAGAGAATAAATAAGTAGAGACATAATTCTTTTATTCAAATTACAAATCATTAATCTTCTATTCCTATTGTAAAATCCATTCAGGAAATTTATCTGGTTAACTTTAGAGATCTGGATTATTTCTATCCAAATACACTAACATATATGCTGTTTCTGGATTATTTTTGTTTTCTACAATAACTTCACCCAAATCCTCATTATATTCTGGCAATTAATATTATCCTCCAAAGTTATTTTAAAATACTTCCTTTTAAGTAGCTCTAGTAACAAATTTATCATCAAATTTAAACCATTATTATGATTAAAAGAAAGGTTTTATGTAACAATAATAATGACCATGATTTATTGCTTCTCCTCTATGAACTAATACTGCATATAATTCATAATATTTATCTTCTTCATCAATTAAATAATCTTTAAAATTGATTACATTATCATATTAAAAACTATCATGTATTTTTGTAAATCCTTATCCATCAAATTAATATCTTTTTAGATTAATCAATATAATAGGTGGTAATTTTTTGAATTTATGGAATTTAATTGCTTCTTACTTACCAAATTCTTCATGTATATAAGCATCTAATGGTTCATATTCAACAAACATGTCAAGAGATTCTCTTAAAGAATTAGTAATATTAAGTGATATATCCATAAATTATTCTTAATTTTTGTTATCAAAATATTGATTTTTTATATGATTCTCTAAAATACCTTAAAATAAGTGATTTATTTCATTTTCTATTTATGGGGCTTTAGTTCCTAATGCTTTTAATAATTCCATAATGAATTCTTAAACATCTTATTGGATTGCTTATTAATCAACATCCCATTTAAATGATTTAATTATCTCCTAAGTTGATATTGCTATCTTACTATGTTTTAGATTATAAAACAAAGATTATAACTAAATGTTAATAAATTAAATACAGTGCATGGAAATTAATTATGTTATTCAGATTCTATTGAATATACAAGTCTTTAGAATATACCCAAATTGAATAATATTTAAAATACACTATTCATATAGCATGTAGCAGCATTATTGATAATTCCTGTAAAGCCTACTTCATCACGACTGATATATTTTGGTGCTACTTCTATTGAAATTTCATTCATTAAACAAAACTAAACATCTTTTTATTTCTAAGTCAATGGTATTTTTATGATAACCTCCTTTGCTTCTAATTTAACATCTTTTTATTTTTTGTTTTTCTTACAAAATATCGTACTAGATAATTTATAAATTTTCCTATATTAAACTATTTAGATATTACGATTAGTCAAGAATTTCATTCAAAGAATTGCAAATCACTAGAATTGAAGCATTTCCATCCTTTATTTCAAATCCTATTTATATTTTGAACTCAATTCCATCCTTAGCATGAGCAATATAATTTAATGCATTTCTTTTATCTTCAAGTCCAAAATAAAAATGGGGAGGAAATATTGCAAATCTACTTGATTTATTGCCAGGCATTTCATATTCCTAAGATAAAAATGCCTCTTAATCAATAGGTTAAGCAATTTCTTCAATTAATATTGGAGCATCGTCAACAATCATTATATTTGAATATTTATTTATATGAACACAGGATTCAGTGGGATTTTTATAATGAAAAATTTCTAATAAGCAGTTAAATATATCTATGCTTTTATTTTTGAATCAAATTTAAACAATCTTAGATTCATATCCTAAAATCATAATAAGTTCTAAATCCACAAATTTTGAATCAAAAATGAGTTCACAAAACTCTAAATAAAATATTTAAACATGAATTTAATAAATTCTTACTAATTAATTTTCATTATTATATAAATATTTCTGTTTGAAAATATAATTTATATAAACAAATAGAATTTAAAGTAAACATAACTTTTAGAAGTATGAATAGACAATAATCATATTATTTCTTTATTAATAAACTCAAGCAATATAATAGATTAATTAAATGATATTTATTATAGATTTTTAATTGTGTAGAATTTTTATTAGTAAGAAAGTTAGCTATTCCTTTATTTATAAGTATTAAATCTATTTTGAATAAATATCGTTAGAATCTATAGAGTATTATTTTAATTTATATTTATTTTTTTTTAAATAAATAATTATGATCCTTATTTTAATCAATTATGATCCTACATTTAGTTATATATTAAATATAAACATTTACTTCTTCTCAAATTAATACACTACATAAAATAATTAGAAGAATTTTTTATAAGACAAAAAAAAGAAGGTATAGGCATTTTTTTAAAATTTGATTAATTTTTTCATAAATTTATTTACTTTTCTTAATATAAGGTATTTTGATTCATTCTACTTTTTATAATCAAACTTAAAAGGATGTAAAAATTGGAAGGATAAAATTCACAAAGTTTTACATATTAATATAAATTTTGAGAACTTATTTGATAAAGAGTATTTTGATATTAGAATGTGTATGAATTAATCCAGGATACATAAATGAATAATTGTAATGATGATTATTAATTAGATAATATATTTATAAGATTATAATTATGAATTTAATAAAAATCACAACTCTTACCTTAATGGTAATAATTTTAGGATTATGCTGCACTTTAATAACAATAATTGTAGATTTAGATGATGATAGTAGTAGATTTACAAATTACTTTATAATTTGTTGTGTAATAATTTAATATAATTCATATAGTCAGGAGTGTTTATTTGTTTAATAATCATTGAAGGTTACCTTTATTAATTTAAACCAAAAAGTAGACATGTTTAATTCCCTCGAATGATGTTAATATATTTACTATTTAACAAGTCTTTTAATTCTAGCTATTTTAGTTTTGTTATATTCAGCCATAACTCAAATTTCTCATGCCTTATTAGACAATAATGGTATAATTATCAAATAACAAAAAATAGGTAATGGAAAGGTACCCATTATTGATCCACATGATTCTGATTGGTATAGATTAAAACAGATTTCTCGAATAATTGAATATACTACCTGTACAATTGTTGTTATTATACAAATATTGATTGGATATAAAAAGAAAAAAAGTTTCAATAAAGGTTAAGCCATTGAAAGTTTGATTGAGAATGATGTAATAATTATTAATTAATAAAAAGAATATCTTGATTACGTCATTAGAACCTACAACATAAAAAATCAATTAAAATTAGGTTACATTTAGTTAAGGAAATTCTCATATGATAAATACTTTTGAATCAAAAAATACTTAGTAAATATAAGCAATACAAAAATTAAATAACAATAATAATAATAATAATTCATGAAATGATTTTTATCAAAATTGCTTTATATAAATTAGAAACTAATTATAATCAAAATTATTCATCCCATGGTGATGTTTAAAGATTATTCTCATGGTTATTAACTGTTTTTATTCTCTAAGTAATAAATTAATAGGAAGCACTCATTGTTCTAAAATGACTACTTGGAGGTGTAATACTGTTGCATATTAGTATTTTAAATATCTATAAAATATATATATATATTTGAAATACTTTTATACAATCTAAATTTTATTCCCCCAATATTTACATCATTTCTTCTCTATTTTCTAATAATTATATTGGATCTTTGCTGTTTTCTAATATATCTTTCATTCTTTAAAATACTTCCTATCCTAATTTATTTTTCAAAAAATCTGCCAATAATATATTTCTATTTGGTGATGTAGGAGTTTTTGGATTGAAAAGCAATTTAGCAAAAGAGGGTTTCTTTTGGGTAATTTCCTATTCTACTTTTTCATCCAATTAAGTATTAATGGTCATAATCTTTTTATATGGTTTTTTTTGAATTTAACAATAATTATTATTGGGTGAAACACATTCTGAAAATATGTTTTACAATCCTAATTAAGTTTATCTATATTGAGGAGTAATGGATTATTTTAGGATCTTTGACATATCTTTGTTGATTGATAATTTGTCTTATTTGAATTCTTATTTTTCATCATAGCCTGGACATTCAATAGGACATATCCTTTTATTTAATAGTCCTTTACTTTTATAAAGTATTTACAATTTGATTTCCTCTTCCTTTATTTATGGTATATTAAGTATTTGATCTATATCAGGTCGTAGTTCTGGATCTTTCTATAAAGTACTATTTAGTATATCTTAATAGAACTTAGGAAAAGTATCTGTTAGTTGAGGAGTTTAACCATTTATAATTGAATTGAGAATAGCAGGGAGAGATTCTCCTTAAAATGGTTTTTTTTATGTGCATAATTCATATAATAAACATCCTAAATTCCAGATATCAGTTTTGGAATTGTAATTTTTGGATTAGCATATTTCAGGAGATAAATAATATGGAGTTCCTTATTTACATAATTTAAATTACCTAAAGTTGTATTAGTAGATAGATCGATCATTTTTTTCGAGATACTGAAATCACCTAATTTAATCTATATATGAATAATGTATAAATACATACAATTCCATCATCAGTAATAAATACATTCCTTAATTTAATATCCCTATGTACTATTTTTTATTAATGTAAATATTAAACTCCCAAACATAATTAAGTAAAATAGTTTAGGATATTTGGTTATTTAGTTTTAATGTATATTGAAAGATCAGCTTAGTTATAGTAATAATTACTTACAATTTTTGGCATATTCCATTATAATACATAATTTATCATTATGTTCAAAGGAATCATAAAATTTTATAATGTTAGGATGTTTAAGAACTTTCATTATACTAACTTCATTTTGAGGATCAACTGTATCAAATACTAAATCTATTCTTTTCATAGCATATTACTATTTAATAATTATTTTGAAATACTCTTCCTTTATTATCTTCCACTAACCAAACATCTCCAAAATTTCCTTTTCCTATCTTTCTTATTCTTTTATATTTTTCCATTTCTCTAAGTATTATTAATTATTATATTTATATAAGTAGAAAATAGACATAATAAATTATTGTAAATTATTGAGAAATATAAATAAATAATAACATATTTATGGCAAGCTAATTGGAATTCAATCTTAATCAAATTCAAGTTGATTTTATTTTAAGTAAAATGCCAAAAGGGTATTCTCTTTTGCAATCTAATCTCTTAAAATCACGTGAATAAAGAGTGGTAAAATTTCCCTCCTTATTAATTGTATAGCCAAAAAAGGTTAATAAATATGATGCATCATTTCAAAGCAATAAATAAGAAGTAGTTGAAGATAAAAGCAAGAGATCTCAAAGAATAGTTCCAATTTAAAAAGAATAAGTCAAAATTCCATTAGATGATAATTGCAAGAAGGGATTATAACTTCTTTAAAAATTCAAATCCCATCCAGCATTTAATGAGATTAATGCTTCTGGGTATTTAAATATCGATAAAATTGAAGCTTCCTTCAAATAGGAGGGTATTACTTACTTGTAAATTAAAAGGTAATTTGATGAATCTTTGGAATCAAATTAGAATTGCATTACAAAAACTAACTTAATCTGTTTCATCCACCCAAATGCAAGATTAAGTTACATTATTAGAAAATCATTTTTATCATGTATTTAAACCAATCTAAAATGAATAAAAATAAATATCAACATCAACAAAGTATATCTTTATAATAATATATTTAGAAATATCCCAATCACTAACAAAGTAATTTCTAATAAAGTGAAAGAACCTTAATCTTAAAAAAAATAAGATACTCATATTTCATTTGAAGAAAAAAGATAATTAGGATAACATATAAGAGAATTACCTAAAGAGCATTTGAAGGGAGTTTGGGAAATAGTATAGTAAAGTGTTTAAAATCAAGAAGCTGAAGAATTAGAATTTGATATTGATCAATTGCCAGCCAAAGTTATCCGTAAATTATAAGAATTTGTTCAATCCAAATTGTATCATATCATAATTAATATAAAAATAGAAAAACAAAAAAAGTCAAGGTTGATCCTTCAATCAACTACAGTTCATAAAAATCCAACAACTAAGAAGATAGTTCTTTTCCCTCTGAGTCCTCTGATTGAGATATTATTAATATTCAACATCTATATTTAAGTATTTTGAATCAGAATATCCTTCAGATCTAAAAATAAGACATCCAATATTATCAAAATGATGATCATTCATTTCAATAAGCCTTATATCATTAAAACTATTAAATAATAAGATTAATTAAATCATTAATATCTATTATTATTATTCAATTATATGATTTTTTGATTTCTTTCTGATATATCAAATATATTATATTTATTAATTCATAAATTATTTTATAATAATAATTTTTATATATTATAATTATAAGTAATTAATAAATTAACAAGGATAATATATCATTTATTGCCTTATTATTATTATTTCCACTCATAAAATTCAGCTATTCTTGAATAGATTTCATTTCTATAATTATTATTTGATTTTTCTTTAATCAATTGTTGTTATAGTAATGATAGAGTATATTGAGTTTTTTATCATTCCTTAAAAATTTGATCTTCTGTTTCCTAAATTTTATAAATTACTTTATTATAAATCATTTTATATCTTTCTCAATAATTCCATTTTCTAAATAAAATGCTAAAATTGTAATAGTGATTTATCCCAAATGAAATACTTATTATATGGAAGATATCTATTGATAATTTATCATTTTATTGTATTTTATATTCAATATGAATCTCATCTTAAGGAAAATAAAATTTTAAAGTTTCAAATATTTATTTAAAGAAATCATAATAAGTTTATTTATTATTTTTATATTTGATCATATTATTATTTATTATATTAATTTTATAAAATAATCAATCAATAAAATTATATTTCACTTTTTTTCTTTTTCTTCTTTCTTATATATCTAATTCACTCATAATGTCTTCACTGTCAACTAAATCACTAAAATCACTTTCATCATCCTTCTATAGATGAAGATATTTATTATTTTTTTTGTCTTGTTCAAATTCAAATTCAGATACTGAAGTAGGTCCATTTGATGAATCAGGCTCAAATAGAGGTTCATCATTGAACTATTAAATAGGAGCATGTTCCATATGATCTTTCATCATAGTTGCCCAACCTCCATCATAAACAAATAATGGGAAATCTTTCTATATACTGAATTACATATTTCTCCACATAAGACCTGAAGTAGTTTAAAAAAATAGAATTTTCTTTTTATTAAGCCATTACTGTATCTTTTTAATATCTTCTCTATCTATGGCTTCAATTCTAATAACTTGAGCCTCTAGATCTTTTAAGACAGCAACTAAATCAAAAGAAATAGTTTCTTCTTAGACTCTTTCACAACACATAATATCAACATTCTCTAAAGTTAAAGTAAAAAAGGGTTGATCAACAATATTGACTAAACAACTCTAAGTAGGTTGAAAAACAACTCTTTCTTTAGCATAATTACCTTCAAAACTATATTATTTTTCTAATCTTTCAAATTTAATATTAAATCTTTTATAGTATTGTTCTGATTATTAAATAAAAGATTCAAAATTTTTAAGTTCTTCTAATCTTCTATCTTACACTTTCTTATCAAAAACATGATCAATATCAAATAAGCGAACTTTCTTTCTTGCTGCTTCTTATTCAGATGCACCTTCAATATCTCTATAGAATTAAATCTAAGAAAATTAGATTTTACCACATTTGATTGGCATTTTAAAAATGAAATGAATACATGCAATAACTTCATCTTCAGGGGAAACAAAGAAACAATGTTTAATACTTGTAAATGTGAAATCTATAACCTCTCCTCTTGCACTCTTATATCTAAATCCATTTTCATGACATTCTACAAATCCTTCTGGTGATCTAGTTTTTGAACTTTATGTTGGTCTCATATATACTTTACTTAAACAAGGTGAATTTTTAGGTAAGACTGTTAATTTTTCAATAACAAAATCAAATTTATCTACTTCCATTTATTTTTCTATTTATTTTCTTCTTGCATCATCTCTACAAACATTAATTTCATTTTCTATATCTTTTAATTTTATAAATTCTTAATTTCTTAAAGTAATTTCTTTCAAAAACATTTAATCAAAATCCATAGATGGAAATTCTCTAGTATCTATATTAAATTCATTAGTCCAAAATCTAATAGTGATTTCACCAGAACCATTTGGTAATTCTTTAACACTAACATTTTAAATAGTAAGTGAATGAAAAGGATAATGTGTTCCTCTTATTGGAATTAAAATGGCTGATTTATCTTAATCAACAGCAATTTCTCCCATAGGATATTAATCAAATTGATCATCTTTTTAAAATGTTTATAATTAATCCATTTTAACTAATAATTTTG